TTACAGCCTCTCACAAGTCCAAAATTTTCTTGGCGATGAGGGGGACTCCGCCCCCCTTCAAACCCCCCAAACAGAAGGGGGCACATCCCCCTTCTGGCAACCCCCTGATGTATCTTTTGGTTGGGGGCCGCGCCGAAAAAGAGGTCACTTTTTTTAACAACATTTCTCAAACAAAATCAAGTGTTTGGGGCCTAAATAAGGCATTTTTTCATCATTTGAGACAACAAAAAGGGGGGGGTGAAAAAGGCGTTAAAAGGCGTGTATATGAAGTAATGGGTTAACAGAAAATGATGAAAATACTTGAAATTACCCTAAATCGCGTTTTTTCATGTTTAAACATGGCCTGTCATATAAATTTGAAGAAAAATCGATGTTTTGTAGATTTTTTTATTTTTTTTCATTAACCCATTACTTCATGAGCATTTTGTGAAAAATGGCTGTTTTCATTGAAAAGTCTCCCGTTACAAGTTCAAATTGCTATAATACTATTAAAACTGCTTCAACACTAATCAAACTTGGCACAAATGTTGACTGGACCATTGCCCTTGCAACAACTTGCTCAGGCTTAAATTTTCTGTTACCATGGCAACGAGGGGACATCTCAAAATTGCCAAAAATCACTATTTTGCGTTGATTTTTTCCATCAAAATTGATTTCAAAGTGCTGCAATTTCTCAATGGATTGAGATAGAGTCAAATGCTTTTCAGCGTTGGTTACACGTTACCTTATGATCAATCTGGGGTCATTTACAGCCTCTCACAAGTCCAAAATTTTCTTGGCGATGAGGGGGACTCCGCCCCCCTTCAAACCCCCCAAACAGAAGGGGGCACATCCCCCTTCTTGGCAACCCCCTGATGTATCTTTTGGTTGGGGGCCGCGCCGAAAAAGAGGTCACTTTTTTTAACAACATTTCTCAAACAAAATCAAGTGTTTGGGGCCTAAATAAGGCATTTTTTCATCATTTGAGACAACAAAAAGGGGGGGGGTGAAAAAGGCGTTAAAAGGCGTGTATATGAAGTAATGGGTTAACAGAAAATGATGAAAATACTTGAAATTACCCTAAATCGCGTTTTTTCATGTTTAAACATGGCCTGTCATATAAATTTGAAGAAAAATTGATGTTTTGTAGATTTTTTTATTTTTTTCATTAACCCATTACTTCATGAGCATTTTGTGAAAAATGGCTGTTTTCATTGAAAAGTCTCCCGTTACAAGTTCAAATTGCTATAATACTATTAAAACTGCTTCAACACTAATCAAACTTGGCACAAATGTTGACTGGACCATTGCCCTTGCAACAACATGCTCAGGCTTAAATTTTCTGTTACCATGGCAACGAGGGGACATCTCAAAATTGCCAAAAAATCACTATTTTGCGTTGATTTTTTCCATCAAAATTGATTTCAAAGTGCTGCAATTTCTCAATGGATTGAGATAGAGTCAAATGCTTTTCAGCGTTGGTTACACGTTACCTTATGATCAATCTGGGGTCATTTACAGCCTCTCACAAGTCCAAAATTTTCTTGGCGATGAGGGGGACTCCGCCCCCCTTCAAACCCCCCAAACAGAAGGGGGCACATCCCCCTTCTGGCAACCCCCTGATGTATCTTTTGGTTGGGGGGCCGCGCCGAAAAAGAGGTCACTTTTTTAACAACATTTCTCAAACAAAATCAAGTGTTTGGGGCCTAAATAAGGCATTTTTTCATCATTTGAGACAACAAAAAGGGGGGGTGAAAAAGGCGTTAAAAGGCGTGTATATGAAGTAATGGGTTAACAGAAAATGATGAAAATACTTGAAATTACCCTAAATCGCGTTTTTTCATGTTTAAACATGGCCTGTCATATAAATTTGAAGAAAAATCGATGTTTTGTAGATTTTTTTATTTTTTTCATTAACCCATTACTTCATGAGCATTTTGTGAAAAATGGCTGTTTTCATTGAAAAGTCTCCCGTTACAAGTTCAAATTGCTATAATACTATTAAAACTGCTTCAACACTAATCAAACTTGGCACAAATGTTGACTGGACCATTGCCCTTGCAACAACTTGCTCAGGCTTAAATTTTCTGTTACCATGGCAACGAGGGGACATCTCAAAATTGCCAAAAATCACTATTTTGCGTTGATTTTTTCCATCAAAATTGATTTCAAAGTGCTGCAATTTCTCAATGGATTGAGATAGAGTCAAATGCTTTTCAGCGTTGGTTACACGTTACCTTATGATCAATCTGGGGTCATTTACAGCCTCTCACAAGTCCAAAATTTTCTTGGCGATGAGGGGGACTCCGCCCCCCTTCAAACCCCCCAAACAGAAGGGGGCACATCCCCCTTCTGGCAACCCCCTGATGTATCTTTTGGTTGGGGGGCCGCGCCGAAAAAAGAGGTCACTTTTTTTAACAACATTTCTCAAACAAAATCAAGTGTTTGGGGCCTAAATAAGGCATTTTTTCATCATTTGAGACAACAAAAAGGGGGGGGGGTGAAAAAGGCGTTAAAAGGCGTGTATATGAAGTAATGGGTTAACAGAAAATGATGAAAATACTTGAAATTACCCTAAATCGCGTTTTTTCATGTTTAAAACATGGCCTGTCATATAAATTTGAAGAAAAATTGATGTTTTGTAGATTTTTTTATTTTTTTCATTAACCCATTACTTCATGAGCATTTTGTGAAAAATGGCTGTTTTCATTGAAAAGTCTCCCGTTACAAGTTCAAATTGCTATAATACTATTAAAACTGCTTCAACACTAATCAAACTTGGCACAAATGTTGACTGGACCATTGCCCTTGCAACAACTTGCTCAGGCTTAAATTTTCTGTTACCATGGCAACGAGGGGACATCTCAAAATTGCCAAAAATCACTATTTTGCGTTGATTTTTTCCATCAAAATTGATTTCAAAGTGCTGCAATTTCTCAATGGATTGAGATAGAGTCAAATGCTTTTCAGCGTTGGTTACACGTTACCTTATGATCAATCTGGGGTCATTTACAGCCTCTCACAAGTCCAAAATTTTCTTGGCGATGAGGGGGACTCCGCCCCCCTTCAAACCCCCCAAACAGAAGGGGGCACATCCCCCTTCTGGCAACCCCCTGATGTATCTTTTGGTTGGGGGGCCGCGCCGAAAAAGAGGTCACTTTTTTTAACAACATTTCTCAAACAAAAATCAAGTGTTTGGGGCCTAAATAAGGCATTTTTTCATCATTTGAGACAACAAAAAGGGGGGGGGTTGAAAAAGGCGTTAAAAGGCGTGTATATGAAGTAATGGGTTAAATAATATATGTAAACATATTTTTCCGTCGGCTTAAAAACCAAGCAATCTATAGTTTCGTTGACATTTTTAACAGTAATGTTGTAAATCTCTTTAAAATAGCAATCATCTCATAAAAAAGATCGAATTTGTATGAAAACATCCGAAATATACCGTTATATTCGGACTTATACATAAAAATGTTTGTTAATGTTCTATTGATATATTGATGACCCGAAGGCGGAGTTTCTCATGCAAATAGAAATTGTACTTCCGATTTCGCCAAAATGAGGTTGCACAATTTTAGGCTAATTTTGGTTGTTTGGACACCAAAATAAGAACGGGAGTCGATATGAAACACATTTGATAAACGAAACATAGCATTAAATTAAATTAAATGTAAATCAACTATATTGTAATTCAATTTCATGAACGATTCATTTAGCTATACTTCTTATGTCAGCTTTAAATTTGAAATTAGCTATATTTTATTTAATAAGGTAAATGAACTGTACCAGATAAAGGGATACACCGTTTAGAGCTGTGAAATTATCAAATAATTCATTTCATACGAGAAAAGTAAAACGTACATGCATATTTATATAAATCACATAATAAAAATGGCTCTTGAGATTTCCAACAGCAGATACATTTATATTCATTAAAGGGACTCCACTGAGGTCCAAAAGCTTAAAAACATAAAATTTCAATTTGTTGTATACATTAGCTGGATCACTTAAAACAGAAAAATCTGCAAGATATAATTAAGAATTATATTCAGATAAAAATTGAAAATCGTATTTAGTGCTGTTCCTAATTCGAGTTGGATGAAAAGCGTTTGAACGCTTTGTAATTTCGAGTCATTTTTTACAATTAAAATAATTATTCAGCGAAAACGGACCGAGCGGATGATCTGAATTTTTGCACAAAAGTTATTGGTATAACCCTACATAAAAATATTAATCTTTAAAAATATTTCCAGCCCAGTTATGTCAAAAACACCTCAGTGGAGTCCCTTTAAGCTATATATTGCGCAAACAAAGTTAAGCTGTATATCTACATATTAGTCTTTATTAATTTAACAAGACTTGACATTTACATGTAAGAATCAGTAAATGAGTTTATGAAATGATCACATCTAATACCTTGCACAGAGAAATTCAAAAAATGCATTATCTTAAATTATCTAGTAAAAAATCAGATTCTAAAATATTGCATTATTTTATTACAAAATATTCAAATTTTCTTTAGTTTAAATGAGCCGACTCACAAATTTAAACATAACAAATAGAAAATATTTGTCTTTAACAGTACAAAGCAGGTTAATGTTTAATTACAAAATGTACTCTTACTCGTTTTCACGTTTTCCACGCATTTCTTTTTGTAATATACCTCGTATAAGGCTATGCGTAAACAGTGTTTATTTTTTAAAGGTTAGATACTTGTATATATCCTCTAATGATCAGTAATGTTAAAAAGTATAAAAGATAAAGTTTTATTTTTTACCCATAAGCCTTAATAAATATAACATTCTTACTTTTAAACCAAAGTTCGACGTATTTCTACTTTAATTTTACATTACGAAAATTATCAAAAAAATTAAAACCTATCTTACACAAGTGATACAAGTTTCTAAATATACATCCGTTATTTAGATTACATGTATTAAGTTACCTTAATGTATTCATGAAAATAAACAACTTAAATTAACGTTATTTGATTCGACTGAATAGTTAGCCAGCACGATGTAATCAAATGTGATCAGAGAGTTTTTATATTGGCGAAGCAGCAATGCTCTCACAGACTTGCTAGGAAGAATTCATTCACTCAGCTTACATTAGCACTGTACGGGATAAATAGCGAAAAATTGGGTGTTGATAAACACACACTAGCAGAGAGAAGGAACGAGTCATACGACACTAGTAACTATATGTGTTCATTATAACAACATTTACTTACAAAAATACGTTCGCCGAAAGAAATAGTTCCTAAATCTAAACGCACAAAGTTTAATTTTTATTTTACAGGAACAGATAATTTTGGATTAGATGCCTTTAATAAAGAGGGACTAAATACCTGACAAACGCTCTCAAGACATATGAGATGCTATTCTAATTGATAAAAACACTTGCTTTTTATCTATATTTCATAATTTGCTGGCTGTTCAAGTATCCCGGAAACAACGTGATATTATAGTTCATGTGTGGTTTTGTTTTGTATATTGATAAAACGTAGTGTCAAAATTGGAAATTTAACTGTAAAAAAAAACTGAGAAAAGAGACAGATCAAATAAAAGAACTGTTCAGTTAGAAACAAAGATGGATGTTAAAAGTAGTTTTCATCTGGTGGTTGTAATTCTAGCCTTTAATAGGATATATGGAGTAAGTACCGTATTATATTCCTACAAACATCGTAAATATCGCAAAATCATACGCACTTTATTTGAACAATGCATAAAATAATGTAATGTCTGTTAATATTATATAAACTATCTTAATTTCTGTGTTTTAAACAATCCTAATAAGTCAGTAAAAACGAGCAAAAACTTTCTTACTCAAATTTTAGAAGAAAGAAATGAGAAAATAGCCGTTATAGAAATTTTACGTCGTATTTGAAGCCTCTGTACATTTTATGTTCCAAATCGAATCATTCTAAGTATTAAATAAGAAAAAAAATCATCCTGTACTTTGTAAGCGTGCTAAAAACCTTTTAAATACATGTTGCATGTTTTAACTTCATTTTAAATGGTTTTGACTTTATTGTAAAAATATTAAAACTTAAATATTTTACAACCAAATGCGAAAAAAAAAATAAAGATAATAATAAAAGTCAGTATTTTCAAAGACACTATCATCACTTTTTTAAATTTATTATTTGAACATAAGGTATACACTTTGTATAAGGTAGGGTTTTCACTCGTCTAGTTAAAATGCGCCAGACGAATGAAAATTGTAAAAAAAGAGCATTATAAAAAGGCTTAACAACGTTTTAAGTGTCGTACCACTTCCGCTAATCATACTGATATGTCAAGTGCTCTGTAAGTACTTTTCTTCAAAGAACCTAGGCATGCCAAATGGTTTTAGTACATTTCCTTCCTTAGGAAATATCTTTTTTTTAGTGTTGATTTCTACAAATATCTTTGACAAAAAAAAGCAACAAGAAAAGCCACACAGTAAGTGTGCACGAAATATGACATTATATGACATGGTTGAAAGAGATATCTTGATCAGGAAAATACCGGTTAATATATTATATTCATTTGAAAAGCACTGAGCTGAGAATAGCGTCTGTTTATCTGGTCAGTTAAACAGATTGGTCTGCAAAGAACATGATTAAATGCTTTATTAATTATTGTAAGGAGCAAATGGCGGCAAAAACGTCATTTTTCACTTGCATATTGTGATAGTATTATACATAGAGAGCAGCGACGTCTTGAATAAAAATATAAATGCAATTACCGGTCTGACAGTAAAATATCTCACGACAAATTAATCCGTTATAACTAAACTGTTTCGTATCTCACGATAAACTGTATAATTGAATTGTCTGTTACCAGACATTGTTAGATTAGGCATAACAGACGTGCAAAGTGGCTCGTCATTCATTACTAACATATAACCACCCTGAAGTGATAACACTTGCCTGTAATTTGTAAATGATGTAAAAAACGGTATGCAGTATTTTTTCAAACACTTAATTTGTTTATATTGTAACCTTTCAACTAAATGTGGCCTGTGATGTGTTATGTATTTCTTTACGGAGTTTTATAAATTAGATAGACGTTCACATATATTAATACAGAGGCAATCTTATTGACTGATATAAATATGCGTAAAAATGAGTTCACTTTAGATTGAAACTGTCTTCAGCTGTTATCAGGCTGTTGAAAAATGGTTATATTTTTAGAATAAAGTCATAATACATTTTATATATACTACTTACCAGATTTTCCCTTAAGTTTAAATGTATTCGTATTCTTTACCCTGAAAATGTATAAATCTAGAAATACGATATTCAGTTTTTATCAGAGAAATTCAAAATAAGTAAAACAATATAAATCTGTCTGAAAATATTTCTATTATACGAGTATATAAGATGGTACATATACCTCTAAACAAAATAAAATTTATCAATGCTTTCCCTGTATTAAATTAAATTTGAATAATCATAATTATGATAAAGTTATGTTAAACCCGAACAGTGGTGTAAAGAAAGTAAAACAGGAGCATTTTCTTATTTCTGAACGTACTAAGAAAAGATACTAAGATTGGTCAATGTTGACAGTATCATTAGCACCTGAAGTCTATTATATTTTTCTTACCAGTTTTTTTCATTTTTAAAAGAAAAATAATACGAAAATGTGAAAATGTTTGGATGAAAGAATGTTAACAGATTTTAAAATTTGATGTCTGGGGGAAACATTGCCATTTTTTGCGTATATTTTTTTTGTTACCGCAGTATTCAATGATAAGACCCACAATATCTTAAAACAGTTTTTTTAATTCCCCCAAAACCCATTTTTTTAGAGAAAAAAATTTTTAAAAAATATTGCTAAAAGTTTGTCTTTTCTGTAGATATAGGTTTAGGTATTTTGTGAGGGTGAAGGTTATTTTGCGAGAGTGTTAACGTTATTTTGCGAGAGTGAATGATATTTTACAGAAGAAAAAAGTAAAATTTTAAAGTAGAATTAACTTAGGTTTAAGGTTCAACAGATTGCATCGGAGAAGATTAGATTTTTGTGTACAAGTTTAAAAATATTATTAATTAAATCCAGTGCTCAATGTTTTAAAATCGTATTTCTTGGTGATTTGCTCATTTATCCTTTGCCTTTTAAATTAAGGAAAAACTTATACAAAAGTCGATCTATTATGAATGCTTTGTTATAAATAGTTTTATTTCCAGCTGTCTTTACGGCAAAACTATTTTACATGTATAAAGTAATCGCATTTCACTGCAAAAAATGGCTGAACATTTTATTAAATTGAAAAAAGGAGATGACTGCAAAATCAATGGAAAAGAAACAAAAATATTGCTGAGAATAACAAATTTAGTTTGTTTTAGTCAGTTTCAAGCCTTATTTGACCGTCAAACTATTACAAAATGTCTGTAAAACGTAAATACATGTTCCAGCTAAATAAGCAAATCTTAAATAAAAGAAATCCGTGGTATTTGATCGGAAAGTAAGAACGCCATTCAATAAGTAACTTACTGCGTTAAGAGATAGGGGGTTTTATCAATATTTGTTTTCTTGCAGTCTGTCACCGTGTCTTTGATTGATGTCAATAATTGATTGAACAGGAGACATATAGGTCATAAATTGTTGGATCACTCTTTTTTAAGCTTACAAAACAGATATCTAATCAAACATCTTCATATTTTCTGACATAAAAAATATGAGAACAATATTGAAACAGAGACTAGGGTAAATAAAGCACTTTACGGATCATAGTAGTAAAGGGGTAAAACTTTGATCACGGAAAAGTGGCAACTTGTAACTGTGTGACGAAACTATGTCTATGTGTTGAAAAAGGATCTCCATTGTTGCCGTTTTTATTCTTAAATCACTAGTATGTTTTTCTTTCATAATAGGTGGGTTGTCTTGCTTACTTTTGAAAATATATGGCGATTATATGTATAAAAAGTAAAGCTCAAGAATAAAATTTAAGATGTCCATCTTCAATAAGGTTTGAAAGGGGTCGTTTTTTATTTTTTTACGGCTTGATTGAAAAAAGTAGCTATACATAAACTTTTACATGTCTTGAATTTTATATGTACTTACACATGTATATGTGCTTTAACGATTTAAAGTCAATTTTATAGTGTAAAACACAAGTTCTGTTCATCAAATTAATTTAATACTAGAGAATTAAACTCTAAATCAAATGTAAGTACTTATAAATTTTATTAACATGTGTTCAAAATTAAACATAATTATTATAATTATAATTTTATAATATTATATGAATATATAAAATGTGTTGAAGTGTGATAAATGATGCACCTATCCACGATAGCAAATTGAAATGTTTACACGTAGGAGTGTTATGATGGTTCGAGGTTATAGAAAATTTCTCTATGCTAAAACTCAAATATCAGGTATTTGATTGGTCAGAAACTGCCACAGATTGTACGCTCAAATAATTATCCTGACATTTGAGATTTTGACCAAGATAAAAGCTCATTACATCGAGGTCTTTTCTTTTAAATTATTTTAATTTTTCGAAATGAACATTCTCAAAATAAACAAATTCACATGAATATTTTCCACGTATACATCTATTATATTCCAGACGCAATAGACACTGCTTTTTTCCTTCGAATGCCTTGCCGACACGCCAATGTAGGTGAATTGGATCGGCTTCGTCTTTGCGAGAATTAGATTGGAAATATGATAGCAACAATATTGTCCCAAAGCATATTTGATATTCATAGAAAACTCATTGAAGGTTTACAAGAGAAAAAAGAAAATTAGATAATAGACAGATATATTATGTCATTTGTAGGTTCTGAAGTAATAACACTTGTACCCGATTTACATAATAGTATTCCTGTTTTCTAGTTCAATGCGTATACAACATTTCATTAATATCTGACTACTAAAATAAGAATAACGACGGCAATATGGTAAAAACAATGACAACAATAATCGACAAGGCGAAGGGAACTTTCACAGGAAGCAGGAAGGTAATACTTCAATGTAACGATGGTGAAACCGCGACGCTACGATAATATACTGGTAAATACTTTGAAACGACGGAAATACCGCGACGGATATAATCGCAATGGCACACTGGTGAAAACGCTTTGATACGACCGAAATAACGCCACGGTACGATGTTTGAAACGCGATAGTGGCAATAGTGCGTTGGTGATACCACGATGGTACGATGATATAACCGCCATCGAAGCATGCTGAAAATGTGTTGGTACAACGGTAATATTGTATGGTACGATAGTGGAAATGCGATAGTACGGGGATATAACCGCCATGGTACGTACGATGTTGGTACGTGGCTTGTAATGCAAGAGAACGAGGATAACATCGTTATGGTACGATAGTGAAAACGCAAAGGTACGATTGTGGAAACGTGATGTGTAATGTTGATGAAACGCGATGGTGCAGCGGCAAAAACCGCGAAGGTATGATTATATAAACGCGATGGTATAACTGCCATGATGAAAAGGCGATGATTCATCTCACCTTCTTAACATTGCGAGTAAGGTTAAAAAAGAGTCACGACTGTTCACATTAAACACTGTAGCAATCACTGACATTATTTGTAACGAACATTCCTTCATGGTTCAGTTCAATATGTTACAGAGCAATACATGCATTATACATAAAGGTATGACATTCTAACTATTTATCAAAATGTATCAT